TATATAAAAAATAATAAAAAATTATCACTATATTACCTCCCAAAAATAAAATAAAAGGAAACTGATCTTCTTCTTTTCCCACTCTCTCTCTCACTTTCCTTTCTTTTTCCCTTCCTCTGCAAACCCTAAATTTGAAAACATATTGCCATTGCCACTTCTCAACACCATTGATTCTCCTAGCCCCCAAATCATCCCCCTCTTTCTTTTCCATTCAAACCTAGCCCGGGACCCTCTTACCATTAACAAAAATAAGCATCTTCTGCAAAAATAATCGATCTTCCTCTTCCAAAATTGAAGATTGGGGTTAGGTCGGAGTTGAGGAGGTTCATGTCAAGGTTATAATACATCAAATTTGAGTTGAGAAGCCCAAATATTCGCACTTTAGTTTGTGATTCATAGTTTTTTTGCCTTCAATCTGCAGGTGTAAAAATGGAGATGAGAATCCCAGTGCTCAGAGAGACAGCCACCACCATTGCCCACTGTTTACTCTTCTATTGTAACCATTTAAACTAAGCTTACCTCCTTTCACCTACTGTTCCAAAAAAAAAAAAAAACACTCAGCTTAGCTCCATTCTTTCTCCCATACTGGAATCCCATCCCTCCGTCCTCCACTTTCTCTCTCACCAAACAGAAAAAAACCCTCGATAATTTTCTATTCGTTTTCCCCTACCCATGATTTTGGATCGGAAATCTCAATCTCATCACTAAGAAAATTGAAAGCTTGAAAAGGGCTCATCAGATCTGAGGCAGTGCGTGGAAAGGGTGGGGAGGGAAGTTTTTCTCTCTCATGCATCATGACTGCGCCCATCAAATGTCTGAGGATGAAGACAACCACCGATCCTCGTCGCACTGATCCCCCCTGTCAGATCTGGCTTTCACTTCCGACAAGGCGCGCAACTATTCCACTATTTCCAAACCTAGATCGAGACCATTGGGTTTTCTATGGTTCAATCGGAAGGGAATGAGCTAAGAGTGGAGAGGAAGGCCTAGCCCCAGCGGCTGTAGAGAAAGAAAGAGGCAGGGGGGAGAGGATGCCAAAATGTAGTGAAAGCCAGATCAAGAATAGAGTTGGGTACTGGGTTTTATTGAAGGGAAGAGCTAGGGTAGAAAGGCTTGAACCAAATAAAGAGATCGAGGGACAATGAAGGGATGAAGAAGTCACAGATGAAAGGAAGAAGATCACCAATGACGGAGAAGAAGGGAAGACGAGTTTGCCAGTAATGGAGGAGAATGGGATGGAGAAGGGGAAGAAAGGAAGAAGAATGGAATGGAAGAACGTAGGAGAAATTGGGCAAGAAAATGAATGGATGGATATTTTTGTAATTTTAAATATTATAAATTATATATTAACTAATTGAATTTAATAGTAAATGTCATCTAAGATTAATTAATTGATATTCATTTTAAGCCCTCACAAAAACTATACACATCCGCCATCTAAATGTCCACTTCACACTTAAAATTTTAAAAATTAAATTAGATAATGGAAAAATCTGCCATATTACCAATAAACTGACGGAATTTATATAAACAAATAAAGTTTAAAGATGATTTTAATACTTTTAAAATTTAAGAGTAGATTTAGTACAGAATTTAAAAGTCAAGTAGCTAGATTGACATTTTAGGCATAAAAATATGCAACTTTATATCCGCTGGAAGAAGTAGTTTTTTTTTTTTTATTAGTCTTTCGCTACTCATTGATAACTGCATTGAATCATCTGATTAATTAAAAATTAAGTCCCATCAGGCCCACAAGAGAGGTTTTTTAAGTATTTATTTTTTTATTTATAAGATTTAAATTTTTTAAAATAAAAAGTAAATTTATTTATTCAAAAATACTTACAACATAAAGCAGCACAGAAGCTGCTACAAAAGAGGAGACTACAAAATATACAAAATAGCCAGTGCACATTCTACTATTACCCAGAAACTAATCTGTCACAACTGTTTCAAGTCCCCGTTGAATTGCAATAGCCATAAGATTTGAATTTCAAATCTTACTTAAAAGAAAATGGAATTCCTTTCATTTGACGAACCAACATTATTGGTCTGGGAAGAAGCAGCTTCACGAACCTAAAAATGCCGATTAAAGCACTCTTG